TACTACTACTACTACGTCCCCCCACCCACCCCCCTTCCCATGTCCCTCTCCTCCCCCCATCTCCCTAACCCTCCCCGCCCCTCCTCTTCCTCCTCCTCCTCCACGTCCTCCTGCTCCTCCTCCTCCTCTTCCCTGCCTCTTCCTCATCCTCCTCCTCGTCGTCCTCGTCCTCCTCCGCCTCCTCACCGTCGTCGTCGTCCTCCTCCTCCTCCCACTCCGCCTCCCCCCCTCCCTCCTCCTCCTCCTCTCTCCTTTTCCTCCTCCTCCCTCTCCTCCCCCTCCTCTCCTCCATACTAACTCCTCCTTCCTCCTCCTCCCTATTTAATACTTCCCCTCCTTCACCATTCATGTTTCCACGGTCCCATATTATCTTTCTCCTCTTCATCCTCCTCCTCCTTCCTCCTCCTCCTACCCCCCCTCATCCTCCCTAACTCCTCCTCCTTCATCCTCCCTTCCTCCCCCCCTTCTCTTCCTCCTCCCCCTTTTCATCCTCCTTCCTCCTCCTCATCTTCCTCCTCCTCCCCCTCCTCCTCCTCCTCTTCTTCATCGATGGCCGAGGCACCAGTGGCATTCAACGGACAGAAGGTACGTGTGTACGTGTGCGTGTGTACGTGTGTGCGTGTGTGCGCGTGTGCGTGCGCTTGTGTGCGTGTGCGTGTGCGTCTGCTTGTGCGTGTGCGTGTGCGTGTGGGTGTTTTTTTTTGAGATCCACGCTCTGCGCCGCAACATTCAGCCTGGCCCTCTACTGCGGGGGGAAAGGGACAGATGTGTGCCAGCAGGGCCAAATGTGTCAGACGAAAATTGAGCTGCCCGATCTCATTACAACGCATGGAAATGGTTTTCGGCTTTCAAGTTAGGAAATAAAAATAAAAATAAAAATAAAAATACAAGCGAAATAAATAAAAACAACTATTTCAAACGATTTTAATTAATATTTAATAATAAAGAAAAAAACTACCCATGGCGATGTTCAGCATAAACGAGTCCCTAACTTAACCCAGGAGCTCGGCAAGCAAGCACTAGCCCAATATTGCAAGCACTGTTTCGGAAAGCCGTTCAGGAGTGCAAACACTAGCCCAAGATTGCAAGCACTGTTTCGGAAAGCCTAAGGTCCGACGAGTGCAAGCCCTTTTTCGGCAAAAGCGAATCCCAAGCTGCTCCTCCTCCTCCTCCTCCCAGGAGGAGAACCTTTCTGACATCAGCGAGCGCCCCGCAGCTCGCCGCAACGCGCAGCGCCCCACAGCCGCGCTGTGCTGGCCCGCGGCAAGGGTGGAAGAGAGGCGTGAGGCTTCGAACTTCGAAAATCGAGGCACCCTCAACATCGAATCGGATCGAATCGCGCTCGAATCGAAGCTCGAAGCTCGAAGCTCGACGCGCCAAGCGTCGAGACGACTCAACATCGAATCGAATCGCATCGAACCGAATCGAATCAACATCGAATCGAATCGAACCAACATCAAATCGAATCGAACCGAACTGAATCGAATCAACATCGAATCGAATCGAATCAACATCAAATCGAATCGAATCGCATCGCAGCGAATCGAATCAACATCGCGCTCGAATCGAATCAACATCGAACCGAATCGAATCGAATCGCATCGAATCGAACCGAATCGAATCGAATCGAATCGACTCGTCAGCATCGAATCGAAGATCGAAGCTCGAAACCCGAAGCGCCAAGCATCGGCTCCGAAACGTCGGCGACGAGGAGCCTAAGTCGAAACACGTCCGTCGCCATCTTCTCCGTCGTCGTCGCCGCTGCCCGCTTCCACCGCCGCCATCCTGGCCCCTGGCCCGCTCACGCCGCTGCGAGCTTCTCCCGCCGCGCCTTCAAGCGCTTCGCCAAGCTCTCCTTGGCGCCACCCGCGTCCTCGCCCTGCTCGGGCCTCCGCTTGGCGCCGCCCGCGGCCTCGACGCCCGCGGCCTGCTTCTCGGCGCCCTGCTCCTTGGCGCCCTCGCCCTCGGCCCGCTCCTTGGCTCCCTCGGCCATCTGGGCGCCAAAGCCCACCGCCGTCTTCGCAACCTTGGCGGGCTTGTGGGCCTCCTCCGCCTTGACCTTGCCGCCCGCGCCCGCGGCCTCGGGGATCTCGAGCTTGAAGTGGTCGGCCTCCTTCTCGCCCCCCGCCAACTCCTTCAAGATCTTATGGATCGCAGACGGCACCTCCACCTTGTGCATCGTGAACTTCTTGCGCACGGACTCGACGCTGGCCTCGATGCTCTCCTTGTTCCCCTTCAGGTTCGGCATCCCGCGGCACACGTGCCAGACCGCGAATGCGAAACACACGACCTGCACCCCCATGTCAGCTGCCCTGGCCAAATCCTTGATCTTGGCGATCGGGATCCACTCGCTCTTGCAGCCATCGTTGTGGACGCCCTTCAAAACCTTGTAGCCTGCGCGAGCCTCCTGGCACAAACACCCGATGTTTTTGAAACTATCGCGCGGCACCGTGATCAGCTGCATGCACATGTCCTCCTTATCGAAGAGATTCTCCTTGTGGTTCGCCCACTCCGTCGGGATGAAGTTCATGGCCCCGACGTGCCCGTCGATCAGCTTGCCAACTGCGGCAGCAGAAGCGTTCAAAGACTCGTCGGCCGCATCGACCAAGGATTTGGGGAACGTTTGCATGTCAATGACATTCTCCAAGAACTTGAACCGACCGCCCTGTTCAAAGCATGTCTTCGCGCCGTCCATGCCGATGGTGGTCGCGTACGTGGCGCTCCACGAACGCAGATCTTTGACAGCGGCCGCCGTCTCCTTCAAGGTCTCAGATGAGAGGCGAACGCTGCTGCTGGACGAGAGGGCCCTCATGGCCTTCTCCATGCAGCCTACGGATTTGGCCAGCGACACCGACTGCGACATGATGCTAAGCTGCATTCGCACCTGCGGGTCAACAGACTGCAACTCCCGCATCGCCTTCTGCATGTCCTCGTTGAATGAAGCAGTTGCGAACACTTCCTGTTTAGCAGTGATGTCGCAAACGACATTCGGCTCTGGAAAGAACTCGCGGAAACGGGCCAGTATTGGAGCAATGGCCGATCCGACCTCCTCATCAGCCTTGCCGCCGAGACTGCGCATGATCTCGCCATCGTCAGCAAAGACGGGGGACCTTCTCAGAACGGTCTGAATCGCCTCCAAGCCCGGCGGGGGAGTGTTGCTGAAGGCGAAGTCCAAGGTTGACGCCAACTCTGTACAGAGTGCGGGGTCGTCGTAGCCTTTCTTTACCTGCAGGCACACGCGGGTCAGGGCCGTAACAACCTGCACAAGGAGAGAGTGGGAGGGCAAGGAGCGGGTCGGATCGAGGAGGAAGAGGGCGCGGCGGGAGAGACAAGACGGTTGAAAGCCCAATGACCGAAACATATGTGGCGGAAAGCAGCACAGCAGCACACTAAGAAGGACAGCGAGGAGAACGAAGAGGAAGATGGGGAGCCCAAGGGGTGCGAGGGCTGAGCAGGTGGCAAGTTGAGAATTGAGAGTCGAAAGTCAGGAGTACGGGGCGAGAGGAAGGAAGAAGAGAAATTGAATGGTGGCGAGCGAACAACTCGATAGAGGAAAAAAGAAGCGGAGTCACCCGATCACCTCGTGCAGCCATTCGCACTGTTCCCAAGACACGCAGTTCTTGTTTACGTATTTGTTTGCCTCGAGGCTCCGGTGGAACTTGACGATCCTGAGGGCAGGGAAGTCGATCTCAGCGGCCCACTTCAGCAGCGCTTCCATGGTCATCTCATCGGCGATGTCCTGAAGTTTCTTTAGAAAAGAGTGGAGCGCGACGAAGCAAGCATTCACGACGTCGTCGAAACGGAGCAGATCGGTCGACGGCAAGAACTCAGTCAAGCATGTATCAGCGGAAGAATCGAGAAGCTCAGTCAGCGCACCAAAGCATGACAATACTGAGTTGAACGCCGCATCGTCGCATACCACGATGTTCGGATCGCACTTGCCCAGCGCCTCGGACATACTCGATGACATGCGTTCCAGATCACTCGAAACTTCTTCGGTCTTCTTCGCCTTCTTCGAATCCAAATCCAAATCCGCTGCCAACTTCTTCCCGTACGGGTGGCCAAACAATGCTTCGGCGCTCCACGTGCCTTTCGCCTTGTGAGACGCGAAGACGCGGCTGGCATGAACGGTGAACTCCACCCTCTCGCTGATGGTGTCGATCTCCGAGAATGTTGCAGCCAACCCTAGCGCAGCCACGAACTCCGAAAGGTCATGCTCCAAGTCGGCCTCGCCCGCGTCGCCGAACCAGTCCTTCACTGCGGCCACCGACAAGGGATAAGTGCTCTTCTTGAGTACCGCCATGACCTTCTCCCCCACGAGCTGGTCCTGGTCAATGACAGGGTTCTGAGACCCGTGCTTGATGATGGTGTTCATGCCGATCATCTGGTACCACGCCTGCTTGTGCTCCATCGCGTTGATGCGCATCCTGTGGCGCGCCCATAAGACGTGCTTGGGCCACTTGACGGTCACCTGCGGGAACGTCAAAACAGAAAGCGGCGAGCGCCATCAGGACCCGCGTCGAACGAAACAAACGATGCCAAAGATGAGAAGGACAATGAACAATGAACGGCAGACTGAGGAGCATCGACAAACCAAACGAACGCCCTGGGGCGGAGGGGGGGGGGCAGACAAGCAGAGAAAGGAAGGGGCAGAAACTTCTCTTACTTCTTCTGCTCACCCCGCTCCTTGCTTCTCCTCCTCCTCTTCATCCTCCTCCTGCCTACTCTTCTTGTTCCTCCTCCTCCCCCTACTACTCCTCTTGCAGGGGGAGGAGCAGGAGGAGCAAGAGCAAGGGGGGGGAGGCGGAGGAGGAGGCGGAGCAGGAGGGGGAGGAGGAGGAGCAAGAGGAGGAGCAAGAGGAAAAGGAAAAGCAAGGGGGGGAGGAGGAGGAGGAGGAGGAGGAGGAGGAGGAGGAGCAGGAGGAGGGGGAGAAGGGGGGGCGGAGGATGGGGAGGAGTCAATAAGACAGCTCAAATTGCATCCCAAATCCCAAATCCCAAGCCGCCTGAGGGTCGAGGGCGCAAGAGGTCTCGTTCATGTCGAACGCCGTCGCGAAGCCCTGGGTGCCAAGCCCGTGCTCCTGCGCCGCGGACAGCACCGCGTGAATAGCGTTCGTGCGCTTCAGAATCTTACGCATAGCTTCGGTCTCCTCGGCTCGGCTGGATTTCTTCGCCCTGGTCTGCGCCTCTTTGTTCAGCAACTCGAACTGCTTCATGCCTGTCTTCGCTTCAGCCCCCCAGTACACCGTTGCCGTCGAGGAAGCACTCTCGAACTCCAGCGCGAGGGCATCGAGCTGGGCGCCGAGGTCCTTCGGCTTCCTGCCGCGCGTCTCCGCCTTCTGAATGGTGGCATCGCCAGGGTCTTTGTTCTTCTGCTGCGTACCCGCCGCCTTCTGTTTCCCCCCAAGCTTGATCTTGCTCTGCTTGCCCGCTTTGCCAGCTGCCGTAGACGAAACCCCATGGCCCTGGGCGTCGTCGGGCTGCTGCTCAGGGGCCGTCGACGGGCTGTCCCCTGTCGGAAACGAGCCCTTCGGAAACCTCGGAGTGGCACCGCCGCCAGCGCCAGCACTGGGCTTCGCCAGGGGAGAAGAGCTACGGCCAGCCTTGCCAAAGCCGCCAAGGTTCATAAGCTCGGAGAAGCTGGAGCTGGCCGCACTGTCACCCGTCGCAGCTACCCCATCAAAGCCGCCGCCATAGCCGTTGAAGAACGACTTAGACAAACCCTGCAAATTCTGCTCCATCTCATCTTTGCTCAACTCATCCCCCGCGCTCGATGCTAAAGTTTGCTCGATTTGACCAGCTACCTTTTCGTTGAATTCGATCTTAGTGATGGGCTTGTCTGGGATGAGCACCCCCCGCACGCCCTCGAAAAAGAACTCGCGGTGCCCTGCGCTTATACCCGCTGGGTTGTTGTTCAAGTCCTTCCCGTTGCCGTATTCTGGCGATGTAGTGTAAAAATCCCAGGGCACGTGTGTCCAGCCAGGTTTCTTGATGTTCATTTCCATTGACTTCACGATCTTCAAAGACCTCTCCTCGATCAGTTCCCACTCGAACTTTGCGTTCCGAGGCAAACCCTTCGAAATGATCTGCTCCTTCAGGACGCTGACCGCTTGCTGGTGGCAATTGAGCTTCTTCTCTTCTGCACCCAAGATTTTTTTGTACTGCGCCAAAGACACGCCCTGCGGTTTCACCCTGGCCGAATAGTAGCGCATGCAGTAGCCGCAGATGGTCCCTTCGGTCCTGCCAGTCTTCATGTCAGGGGGGTAGGACCACCAACACTGTTCAATCACCATCGGCACCATCACTTTGCTGCACGGGTCATGGTCGGAGTCGAGGAGGGGGCACAATTCGCATTTGCGGCCATCTGGGCAGAACTTGACGAGGTACACCTTCTTCGTCCACGTCAGCGTGTACGTGCTGGTGGCGCCAAGCGTTGTCGTATCCTGTGTATCAGCGGAACAATGCAACATTCCAAACCTCCTCCTCCTCCTCCTCCTCCTCCCCCTCCCCCTCCTCCTCCTCCTCCTCCTCCTCCTCCTCCTCCTCATCTTCCCCCTCCCCCTCCTCCTCCCCCTCCTCGCTCTCCCCCTCCTCCTCCTCCTCCTCCTTCTTCGACCCTCTGGCGCCCCCCAACGCCGCCCCCAGAGGAGCCGAAGCGTCATCGACTCCTTCGAGGGGTCGGGGCGGGGCGGGGCTGAGGCTGGGCGACGGCTAGCTGATCAGACAATGGAACATCTCGCAGGGTGCCATCGTACAAAGTGGACAAACAAAGACACAAAGCGCAAGAACAACTGTCCTCTGGCGAGGCTGCGGCAGGTGGCGCTTGGCCCGCTTGGCCGCGGGAGCTGGACGCCTTCCTGGCCCCTCTGCGGCTCGACTTCGAAGCGCCCATGCTGACGTCCAACCCGCCATCAGCAGGCAACTCCACGTCGGCCATCATGGCGGCGGCAAGCGGGATGGAAGCAATCCGCGGGTCGCGGGCCGCGGGCGCAGCGGCTTGAATCAAGCGCCCGGCGAGGCGCGGCGAGGGGCTGGCGGGTTCGGGCGGGGAGCGCGTGCGCACTAAAAGCCCCGACGCTGCGATCCCGCGAGCTGCGCGCCCCTCGGGGCCCCTCGCTCCAACTGCGCGACACGCACAGACCACCAGCCACCAGGCCACGCCTGACTGAGGGCGCCCCGAGAGCCCCGAACCGCGAGCCAATGCAACGCCATGCGATTCGAATCGCAATCGGAAATGCGCGTTGTGATGACGTGATGACCATGGCCACATCGCAATGACGCCGACGCAACCCCCTCTGGACCTGTTACGACCTGCTGATGCAACAATGTGCAATTCAAAGAAACCTCAAGGGAATTACGCAATGTAGATATCGAGAGCGGGCACAAAGCAGCAACAGACCAAGGACGAAGACAGCGCAACGACGGAGAGGATAATGAGGGAGGGCAAGGGGGCAGGGCGGCAGCGACGGAGGGGGAGGAGGCGAGGATGGATGGGGCGGCGATGGATGAGACGGGCAGGGAGGGAAGGGAGAATGAGAAGGGAAGGAGGAGGACCCGGGGGAAGGGGTAACATTTAAAGAAGCGGAGGGTGGGGGGCAAGCGGCTCGCACCGTCGCTGCGTTCAGCAAGCCAACGCCGCCTATGCCATGCCCAGGTCAGGTCACCGTAGCCGCCTGCTCCAGGTAGCTCTCGCGCCTCTCGCCGCCCTTCAGCCGTCGCCCGCCTTGCAACCCCCAGATCATCAATCGGAGGAGAAGCTCGAACTAGACGCCTCATCACTGTCGTCGTCGGCGGGAGCGGGAGCTGCGGGCGCACGCGAGGACCTGCCGATCTTAGAGAAGAAATGGCCAGACGTTGCCACCAATGCTGTCTGAACTGCACTGTAAGTAAAACCAGACCAAGCGTTACCACACATGTTCGCAATCAGCTCCCCGCACTGCACCTCGGTCATCTCCGCGCGCTTGCCGTCGCCCATGTCGTCAGGCACCTTGAAGAAGTTCGTGCGACAGAAGCTCTCGTGCCAACCGATGCCGCGGAGATACTCAATCGGCTCCGCCAAGCGAACCACGAACCTGTTGCATGCACTGTTGAAGTACCGCACCGCCAGCTTCATGCTCCCCACTAGCGTCATGGGGCTGCCCTTCCAGGGCGACTTCTTCAAAGGAAACTTCTCATCAGGCTTTCCCTCGAAGTCATAGTCGATGCACCCCGTCAGCAGCCTCATCATGGACATGTTCAGGTCGATGTACTCGGCGCCGTCCTTGCCAGACGACATGCACGGTGGCCACACCTTGTTCACAAAGAAGCACAACTCTTGCTCCCGAGGCCACATGCCATCGATTCTGATAGCCTCAGCCACTTCAGCGGGCGCAGGGGGCCACTCCATCTGCTGGCACTTATAATCCGACCAGCCCAGACCAGAACGGGGCCAAGTCTTGAACATCCTTCTTCCATTCCTCACATGCGGAGGAGGAGGAGGCCGGGGGGAGGGAGGAGGGGGAGGAGGGGGAGAAGGGGGAGAGGGGCAGGATGAGGAGGAGGAGGGGATGATGATGATGATGATGATGAGGAGGAGGAGGAGGGAGAGGAGGGCGAAGAGGGGGAGGAGAAGGAGGAGGAGGAGGAGGAGGAGGAGGAGGAAGGGGAGGAGGAGGAGGAGGAGGAGGGGGAGGAGGGGGAGAACAGGAGGAGGAGGAGGAGGAGGACGACGAGGACGAGGAGGAGGACGAGGAGGAGGAGGAGGGACATGAGGAGGAGGAGGAAGAGGGGGAGGAGGAGAAGGAGGAGGGAGGAGGACGACGACGACGACGAGAAGGAGGAGGAAGCGTCGCCAAACCCTTCGGAGAAACTTGCCAGCCCTCCCCGGCAGGAGATTCCACCCCTCCTCCCAACCTCCCTACCTCCCTCCCTCCCTCCCTCCCTCTCTCCTCCTTCCTCATCTCATCTTCCGCGTCATCTTCCTTCCCTTCCTCACATGCACCTTCGCATCGCCCGTCTTCTTCACCCCCCCCCCCCCCCCCCCCCCCCCCCATCAAAACTCCCTCTCCTTCGCACGAGGCGCTCCTCACCTTGTTCAATCATTTCATTCCCTGATCACCTCAACTCGCTGGTGGGTGGCGGTGGTGCGCAAAGCGCTTCGGATTCTGGATGTGCTCGGACTTGTACTTGCTGGGGTTCTGATCCGAAGAATCCTTTGTCGCCTCTTTCCTTGTTTTCGAAAAAGGCTGCCTTGTACCACTGCCCTCGAAAACTGGGAGGCCCGCGCGACGGCTGATCCCGACCCTCTCCGAATCGTCCTTGATGAGGAACTGCTTGCACTGGTCGATTGCGTTGAGCTCTCCCACGTTAAGGCACCGCAGCTTGTCTAAGAAAAACGTGGTCACCTCGTCGTGGGCGTCGGCGTCGGGCGCGATGCCTTTCAAAGCGACCCACCACAACCTCTGCCGCGGCACTGGCGAAAACTGCGAAGACGCCTGTATCGTTACACGCAACGACCAGTAGCCGAGCTTCCTGATCTCTGAGACGATCCAATCTGCATCGCTCGGGACAGCGGCATCTGGCTGCTGGCCAAGATTGACCACGCACTCCAACACGATCTCCTCTGGCCAATTCTTCGAAATGATCGAGAGGAGCTCGCGCACCGCAACGCCTGTTGCACCTGTTCCTTGCTGGCAACAATTAAGATTCTCCCTCATCTTTACCGACAACGGAGTGCGACTAACACATGGAAACCCGCTGCCAAGAGAAACAAAATGTGGAATAGTTGCGTCGGCTTGCACGTTGAAGTCAAACGCCCTGGCCGACGCAATGCCCTCCATCTCCCCCGCCAAGAACCCGACGTCGCAGAACTGCTGCTTCAGGAACGCCCTCTTGTCCTCATGGATCTCCGCCCTGAGAACGTGCTTGCTCCTAAGCTCGACGCCCCATCGCTCCTTCCAGATCGCTTCCAGCAAGTCATCCACCTTCGCCTTAATGTCGCAACCAGTGCAACAAGTAGCTCTGCTCACCTCGTGTCCGTGACGTTCCGCGCACTGCTTGATGGCCTTCGAAAACTCCAACTCCATCGGCCCCATCCTGTCCAACATTACCTGGATGACAACGGCGAGCCACGGTCCCGTGGAGTCCAGACTGTCGGCGTCGCCGATGTCCTTGCCGCCGCTGGCCTTGTCCTTGTCGACGCCGCCCTCCTGCCGGCGGCGCGGGAGACGACCGAACGCATGCAAACGGCGAGAAGGCGGGGGCGAGGGTTGAAAATGAACTTGAGTATCCTGGCAAAGGCCCAACCCGTGCTTCGACCGCGACCCGCTGCCAACGACGAGGCCGACGATCCACGATTCGAGCAGCACAGACGACAAGAATGCGAAAGCCGAGGTGCCAGGCGAAAGAGGCGCGGAGAGGCAAGGGACTCATTGAGACAAATAACGACAGACGCTGCCAAGATGCGACTCGCAACGACGAGGGTAAGAGGAAAAGCCTCAAGGCTCAGGACGGGCAACCGCAGGAGGAGGAAGGGGGGGAGGAGGAGGAGGAGGAGTAAGGAGGAGGAGGAAGGAGGAGGAGGAGGAGGAGGAGGAGGAGGAGGAGGAGGAGGGGGCCCGACTCGACTTGAGACTGAACGGAAGTAAAGCAGGCAAGACTGGCCCTCTGCCAGACCTCCCCCTCCTCCTCCTCTTCCTCGCCCTGCGGCTCCTGAGGGCGCAATCGATGAGATGAAAGCTTTTTCAAACATCCGACGCAGATGTCCGAACGAAGCCCATCAGACGTTGCTGACACAACAGGCGGGCTGCGTGCATTCCTTCGGCGCTCGCGGCGCGGCACGCGCGGTGAAGGTGAAGGTGCAACCACATGCATGCGTAGAGCGCACGTGGCACAGGGCGGCGCCATGAGCGCACGTGGCACAAGGGCAGAGCGCACGTGGCCCATCGGCAATTCAGAAAGCGCTGACGCAATTACTAGTTACAATTGCCTCGATGGAGGGTCTTGCAGCAACAAGCGTGCAATCGGAAACGTGACGCCACGGATCTACAAGGCGCTGGGCAGGCTTGGGAACGGAAGAAGGCGGGGAGATCAAATAAGAGGGATCATACATACTGGATCTGTGGGATGATGAAATGATGCTTGAACTTGAATGGAGATGACGGAGATGAGGCCCTTCGGAACCTGCTGAGCCAGCGAGCGAGCCCACGACCCACGACCTCGGGCTTACCAGCCCAGAGACCTCAAGGCCCACGCCCTTCATCAACAAAAAAACTAATTACAAGCCGACGAGCCCACCGTTCTCACGGCGCTCACGAACCATCTGCGCCAACTGCTGCTCCAAGACGTACTCGCGGCCGTAGTGCAGCACGGGGTGCGGCTCCGAGCGTTCGAAGCAACCATTGCAGAGGAACCTCTCGCTGGCGAACGCGGACCTCCCT